TAACTGGGCTCAGTCGGGCTCAGGTTGAGCTTCACCAACACAATCTGAACCCGAGCTCGGAGTCCCATCGGCCCAGATTTTCCAGCGTTTTCACGGGTCCGGGCCACGTCCAGTCCGAAGCACAATTGGAGAGGCCAAAGTTCAGCCATTGGAACTCCTTTTCCATTCCCCTTTAATATCTTAGCATAAAGTTTTGGTTGAGGATAAATTATTATATATTTCAAAGCAAGGTACCTATCGAACAACTTGTCGCATCTTTTCTATATCTAAAAAATCTCAAATTTCACCGAAATTTGTGGCGCCTAACATCTTGACGTATTACGTTTGGGCATATATTTTACAAAAACCCCGCTAAATTATTGCAAAAATGTCCTAAACAACGTTAACATGCGGAGCAAGAAGTACGAAAGTTAATTTGACACGTTTGTTACATCTTGTTCTCTCACATGAATGTTTCTTCATTCCAAATTATCATCATAATTTTGTTATTTATCATAATATTAACTTATTAATCTATCCTTTAATGTCTATTATAAATTCTTTTCAAAATTTTAACATTTAGTATAATTTTGTAAAACTCAAGAGAGCTTTTTTCTCCAACCTATTAAGTTTCGAGGGGTCTCGAGCAGAAATTTCAAAAGCCCAAGGTGTATTATTATTATTGTTGTTATTTATGATGATGATATTGAAAGGGCAACAAGAGGAGCATCTGAGCGAAAAAGAAAGAAAAATAGAAACAGCAGAAAGGAAGAGACCAGAAGCACGGATTTGTCTTAAAATATCCTTTAAAAAATATATATATATATATATATAGTGCTGCGTAGCGTGTGACAAAAGAAGAAATCGATTTGAGGCTCAAATCAGTTGAAATCAGTCAATATCGGAATAAAATCGTACAATCAAAGCGTGATGTGCTTCGAAATTGGGATAAAAGATTAGCTCACATCTAGAAACGAGAAAAAAAAAAGTTAGCGAAAGATGCGACAAACATTTCAATCTAATGTCGGCTATCGGTATAAATAGTTTTTCGAAAGGGAGGTTGACAGACGCGTTTTGTTGGCGATACTTCCTTTCTTGGGGGAGCTACGATAATGTGCGCCTGGGGTTGTCCCTAGATAATTTAATTACCAGTATAGTATTCTGAATCTACGTGGACGCTTTCCACAAATTTAGTTCTTCTTAGGAGGGCTGTTTGATTTATTAAGTACTAAAATTATAGGGTTTAGAAGCTCATTAAGAATTTCAAACCCATAAATTTCCGTACGTACTTTAAAATTTCTAATCTTTTGTTTGGTTCGGTATGATTAGAGGAAAGCAAATCCTAGAATTTATAATTCTTATTTGGTTCAAACCCCAAAATATATGAAAGTACAAATTGTACGGACACTTAATGCCAAAATTTTATTTTATTTTTTAGCATTTGGATAATCGTGTCCAAATTGTAGATTTGACGATATCTCAAAAGTTCCTATTTTTTTTTACTTTATGGACGCTTATTAGTGTCTTTTTTTGGAAGCAAACACTCAATATGGAATCTCATAAATGAAAACCAGACACTTTTTACTCTAAGAATTTTAAATCCATCTCAAATGCCAAAAATTTTGTTGAACCAAACAACCCTTAATGAATCCAGCGGTGTCATAAATGAATGTAGGATCTGCGGAAGCTCACACTAAACACTAGGGA